AGTTATTTCACATTTAATTGGGTGGAAACAGAGCGACAAAACCCCCAATGTCCCCATCCAAACAAAACCTTTGTGCTTTGTTGGTGGTGTTGTAGGTGACAAAATTGATCCTGCTTTGTTCTTATGTGCTTCATTCATCTGTGTTTTTCCTCTTTTGTGGTTAAAATGATCTGTGTTTAACTTGGCATTTTGGGGAGTTATTCAGGAATTTACCAGAGCACAGGCTCCCCCTCCTTGGAAGTGTCCAAAGATCACCCTGGTATAGTGGAAGGTGTCCTTGCCCATGGCAGGGGTGGCACTGGATGAACTTAAAGGTCCCTTCCAAACCATTCTATGATTTTTCATGCATAGATGATTTTCCAGGAACTGTTTCCATGATTTCTGAAGCTAGGACAGTGGTGCAGCAGGGTGCACTATCCCAGGGTGATCCAAAACCTGGCCAGGAATGGAGAACCTGTGCCAGGGTCTGTGCTCTGGTAAATTCCTGAATAACCTCCCAGAATGCCAAGTTAAACATGGACCATTTGAACCACAAAAGAGGAAATTCAGTGTCAGCCTAGTTTAAGCCTATTTATTCAGTGTCAGCCTGGTTATCGTTCTCAGGCTGGAATCCCAGGATGATTTGGGTTGGAAGGGACCTCAAAGCTCATCCTCTTCCATCCCTTGCCATGGCCAGGGATGCCTTCCATTATTTTAAGAAGGCCTGTGACAAAAAAAAAAAAAAACAACACCTAAATCCTGTCTTTAGTTTTAATATTGGGAATATTCCTCATGGTGAAGTAGGGAGGATTCCCAGTGCCCAGGGCACAACCCCGTGAATTATTCAATGAATAACTCATGAGTAAAGGGGACCATTATCGGTTTTGTGTTCCCAAACAAACACCAGCCCTAGCACATCTCCATCGGACCGGCTCTGAATTCAGGCAGCCACTTAGCAATTAAAACTTTAATTGCTCCACAATTAAATTGGCAACTACAATGTAATTAGCACGCAAGGTTTAATTTGGGAAAGCCGGGTTCTGGTTGGGAGGCCTAAGGGATGTGTGCTGGGGACCAGGGCAGCAAGGGAAGCTGTTCCCTCTTGGATTTTATGGAATATCACCAAGCATCGTTCAGCTCCAACTCCTAGGACTGGTTTTTCATAAGAAAAGCTTAATTTCATGAAGTTTTAATGAACCTCCCAGAAATCTTCACAGGGTGAGGTGAAGCTCTGGTTGTCAGAGCAGCTGTGGATTCCCCTGGATCCCTGGAAGGATAAAGAACCAAAGAACTGGGACTTGGGGATCTGCAGAATCTAAAATGTATTGAGTTGTGCGTGGTTAAAGGGAATTTTGGAGCTATTTCTGTTGGGAGCTGGCTGGTGGCTTATGAAGCTGTTCCCTCTTGGATTTCATGGAATATCCCCAAACATTGTTCAGCTCCAATCCCTAGGACCGGTTTTTCATTAAAAAAAGCTTAATTTCATTAAGTTTTAGTGAACCTCCCAGGAATCTTGCAAAGCAACAGGATGAGGTGAAGCTGTGCTTGCCCAGAGCAGCGGTGGATGCCCCTGGATCCCTGGGAGTACCCAAGGATAAAAAACTGGGACTTGGGGGTCTGCAGAACCCAAAATATTTTGAGTTGTGCGTGGTTAAAGAGATTTTTGGAGCTGTTTCTGTTGGGAGCAGGCTGGTGGATTGTGGAGGCATCGATCTCTTTTATTGACCCTTAACTCTGGTCACCTTCTCATGTTCATCCTGGGAAGGGAATGGCTGAAGCCCTTGGAGCTGGGGAACTGGAGGCACTGAGATTTTTATTTTATGCTCTGTTTGAAAAATCATACACATTGCTGATTGTTATGGAATAGCTTCTTACAGCTGACAGAAACATGCATTGTTTGTATGCCAGCTAATGCTCCCCCAAAATCAGCTCAAGCTGTAAATTAAATATAATGTTGAATTCAATAATGCTCAATATTTGGACTGAAATATTTTCTGATTCTCCTGCCTGGAGAGAAGCATCTCTTGCATTATTTAGTGTTTGTCTGGTGGAGATGCCAAGGCAAGCTGCAGATGTATCTCCATTAATTGATCAATATTGTGTTGTGTTCCATTTGGTTCCTTTATCTGCCTGATACAGCAGAACAATTTGTTTGCTCCATGGAAAACTGCACTGTACAGGCTGCCAGGTAGGAAAAGAAAATGGGAAAAATCCTACAGCAGTCCCTTGAACTTTTAATTCCATAAAAGGTGAATTTTTCTCATGGTCTGGGCATCTTATGGTGAGGTGTTTAATGTTCCAGATTGCTGAGTTACACAGCAGGGGAATGGGAGGCTTTCTCCAGGATAATAAATTGTAATTAAAGAGCACATTAATTACCAAACCACAGAGCATTGTTTTATCTAATCTTGCTAATACCTGCAATATCGTGCTGTGAAATCTTCTCTTTACTTTTAAAACAAGTATTTAAGTTTCATCAGCAATGTGTTTCTTGTGCTCCCCAGCACTTGGGAATAATGTGATCCCATTCCTGCTCAGAATTGCTCATCTTTCTTTGGAACCCATGAGCCAAAAGTCAGGGAAAGTAATTTCCTTTGCAGGTTTTTGTTGTAGAGGTTTTTGCAGAAAAAGCTGCTGAAACTCAGTTCTATTAAACAAAAAATGACATTCTTCAAAATGATTTAGGAATCTCTGAAGCGTGGGAAGCTCCACTAAAGGCTGATATTGCTCATTCTTGAGATAAACACCTATTTTTGTTCTTCTTGTTAGATTGATACTTAATATGAAGAGATGAATCAAACATTTATAAAAATAGTAATAAAATTAACTTGCAATGAAGAGATTTGAGCCTCCCCCAACTCTGCTTCTCTATCACAGAAAGCACTGCTGCCATTTTACACTCCCACAGCCCAGGTAACTTTTAGGCCATAATATTTACCAAACAGCCATTTTCAGCTTGATAAATAATCATCTTTTCTGACCTAAACGAGTCTGTGTTTCAGTTCTCTGATTGTATTCTGTGAACCCTGGAGCTGCTGAAGCTGTTTCCCAGTTTGGGGTGCCAAGGGAGGTTTTTTAGTGGCTGCTAAGATTTGAAACCTTTGCTCTTTTTCCTTTTTTTTTTTTTTTGTGGGAATAACCCCCTCATGTCTGTCCCCTCTTCCTTCTCTTCTCCTGGCTCTTGTTTTTCAAATTTTAATTTTCAAACCATCCATTATTTAAAAGATAGGTCACTTCCAACCTCCCAGGTTGGTCCTTTCTTTCCATCCAACATGGAATTTTAATTTTAACCCTTCCTCACACATCCCAGCATGATGCAGGTAAGCTGATAAAGGAGATTTCCCCTCATAAAACCAGATATTCAGAAAGGCAAGGGGTGGAGAGATGGGAAATAAATAATAGGCACGGGTCAGAGTGATTTTCTTTTCTATGATAGTTCTGTTACTCATGGATGAGTGTTCTCAGGGATGAGTTTCTCAGGGGAAAATGACCAAAATTACATCTCACCGCCGTTGTTGTGTGGGGTGTTAAAGACCTAAATCTTTTCTTTTCTGAACACAAAAAATTGGGGGAAATTTCACCAGGAAGTCTAAAAGGTGAAACTAAGTTCACACTGAGTGTGGTGTACTGTATGTCCTGACTGTGCAGATGCTCTGGAAGCACAGAGTTTGTGGGAATTGGGAGTGGGGCTGTGGCCAAGCCTCACGCCACAGTCTCAAGCTGTGCCAAGGGAAATATAGGTTGGATATTAGAAAAAAGTTTTTTACATAAAGGGTGATAAAGTTCTGGAATGGCTGCCCAGGGAGGTGGTGGAGTCACCATCCCTGGATGTGTTTAAAACCAGACTGGATGTGGCTCTGGGTGACAGGGTTTAGTTGAGGTGTTGGGGCTGGGTTGGACTCGATGGTCTTGGAGGTCTCTTGCGACCCAACCCAGAGATTCTGTGAATTCTAATGAGCTGCAGCTGTGCAGGACAGGTGAGTGATATTGAAATTAATGAGCCATGGAGTGCCCAGGGGCACTGACCAATCACCCAGGAGCAGAGGGCACACAGGTGCAGTGCATCAACATGAGGGAATAAAAGGTTGGGCTGAGCACAGGAAGAGCAGTTGTTTGCAGCCTTCTGGGGTGTTGGGGTCTAACTGTGTATGAGCAGATACCTGAAGTTTTCTGAGCTGGTAAGGTGTTGTTCTGGTTGGGGTGAAACTTTCTGAAGTTGTTTGGTGCCACTCTCTGTATTGTGGCCCTCTCAACTGTGACAATGCTCCACTAAAAAATGCTGAAGCATTAAATGTTTCTGCATGCAGTAGTTGGTTTTAACCTTTTTCTGAATATATGTGTTCT